GTTGGTACGGGGGGCGATGCGCACGTCGACGACGACGACGACGACGACTACTACTACTACTGCTACTGCTACTGCTACTGCTGCTGCTGCTGCTACTACTACTACTACCACCACCACTACCACTAGCACTACCACTACCACTACTACTACTACTACTACTACTACTACTTCTACTACTACTACTACTACTGCTACGATGATTGTAAAGCAGACATCAACCAAGGCTTTAGCATTTCCTGCCGGCATTCTGAGCGACACTGTTTCGCGCAGCAAAATCCTGACCTGGTGCGCCATTCTTTCTGTCTTGGCCGTGGCCGTCTCCATCGCAGGCTGCACGATCGTTTCTTTCTTACTAAGCCCCGAACCCAGCTCCCTGAGCCTAAACACAATCCTAAACCCTGGTTTCTATGCCCTGAACCTTGGACTCTGCCCGCCGAGCCCCAAACGATATGCTCCCCAGCCCGATTCGTCGGTGTGTGACTTCCCATGGGAGGCTCTTGCACCTGGAAGTCTAACCTTCGCACGCTTATCGCTAATATCCTGAAACCATAAACCGTAAACGAGAAACCTAGACCTTTGTAAACCTAATGGCTAAAGCCCAAACCTTTAACCGCAAGCTTTTCAGACAGGGCCCTTAACAACCAGTGCCACACGAGACCATGAAGAAAGTCTTCAAACCAAAACCCTCAAACCACTGTGGCAGGCATTAGCCTTGATAGCTTTCCCGTGATTTACCTCTCTTTGCTCCTCTTCGGGACCTACACGGTGCCTGGGATCCGGAGTGGGGTTCTGATCGGGCTTCAGCTGTTTTGAAGTTTGGAGGGTCTTGTACGGCCTGTAAAACTGGGCACGGTAAGGGTTTTGTAAGGGGTTGAACGGGCCTTAGTATGTAGATTTGTGTACGTGGTCGTGGGGTTGTGGGGGCGTCCGGTGGTGTCGTGGTGGTCTGTGGTGGTCTGTGGTCCTTGGTCGGGGGTTGCGGGGGGCTTGGCTTCGGGCTTCGGGGTTTAAGGTCAAAGGGTTCCTCGGGAAGAGACGAACTCAAATCGCCTTTACCACAAGCTTTGGAGACACCCTAAGCTCCAGAAAAGAGGGGTCGGAAGACTTTGGGGCATTTCTCCTTCAGGTTCCTTAAGTTGTGTACTCCCGGTATGGAAAAACCACCCTTCACCTTCAGCCCTACGCTCCCAGCCCAAAGTACTACATCGAAGGCGCTGCAGAACACGGCCAGCAACGCACTCTACACGGATTCCATCCCACCCGGTGAACGCGCCAAGTGGCTATCGCGGGTGAGCATCGCCGCTGTCCTAGCTTCACGGGCTTGATGAAACCAAGAGCTAGATAAACAAAAACAGAGAAAGTTGTTATACGCTCATTTTCGCTTAGACGGTGTTTTGTAATGAAAGCAAGAAACTTGCGAAGCGTTGCGAAGCGTAACTACATCAAACCCAGCACAACAGAGAAAAGAAGTGTGTTGCTTTGCTCGTTCATTCTTGTTGGGTGGGAACACTGAAAGCCGCATGCTTCTCCGATCTCTTCGTTCATTGTCGCACTCATTAGTTAAAATCTGACGAAATTGTTCACAGATTTACTCGGGCAGGATTTGAGATCTGGGGGGCTGAGGGTTTGGGGTTCACTGATCAAGGTTTAGGGTGTGGCGTTTGAGATTAGAACATGTGCCACGAGGGCCTTTGGACGGTTTTGTGCGCAAAGTGCTCAGAGCCTCGAACAATATTTCTTTGAAGGCCCGGAGCCCTCAACCCTCAGCGGGTCAACCCTAGAAACTACCCTAGAATCCGTAAACGCTGAATCCTCAATTATTTCCTGAGACAGGCTTCCGCCACCCGGGAGCCTTCAACTACCCCAACTACCCCGAAACCGCAACCGCGAAGACAGACGCCGGGCACTTCACAAAGGTGAACCAGCTGGGCTACGGCGCCAGGCCCTTCTTCAGCTTGTTCCTCCTGGCCCTTCGCTGCTAAGAGGTTTGGGGTTCTGGGCTTAGGTGTGCTAAGAGGTGGAAACCCCGAAACACGCGGGAGGATTTGCCAAAATTCGGGGCCCGTCCTCTGGGATTTCTTGTTTTCCCAGACTCCCACTTGTATCCAAACACCCGAAGCCCCAAACCCGTGAACCACTATAGCCCCTTGTTGAACTGAGCCCTGACCGCCACGTCCGCACACCTGTAAGCATTATGCCCCAAAGTCCAAGAGTTGACCAAATCTGAGACATTGCTCCCTTGAAAAGGCTCAAAGATGAAGACTCCTAAAAAATGACAATTTTAAATTGTAAATAAATAGGGTTTAGGGTTTAGGGGTTTAGTGACCATTGTCGCCCCTTTCGAGGCTTCTGACCCTTTCAGAGGAGCTCCAAGCACAACCGTGGCCCAAACTAATATGACAGGGTTCTTGAGAGCTTAAGATAAGGGGGCAATAGTTTCGGAGCCCTGGAAATGAGGATCCTAGAAGTTCGGGGGTATATCATCCTCCCCTGCTTTTCTGAAGCGCCCACCTGCATGAGCACAACAGCTTGGCTTGAGTGCTTCCCATCGGGTCGCGATAAAACTCTGCAAGGGGTATCTGAAGCTAGAGGTGATCAGAGGTCAATCCTGAATCTCTACAGTAACTTTCTTTTTCAGCCTTTAGCTCTGCTAAAGCCACTGACACCTCAGAGCCCTGAACCTTTGTGAGCCCTCGGGCCAGAAGACAGAGGCTTACTTTGGCAACGAGTGGAAGCTCTCGGTCCTGCATTTCGTCCTCATCATCGGCTTCTTGGGCATGATTCCTGCTGCGAGGCTGCAAAGTGTTCTTGCCTCTTCATGGGAGTGTGGTTGTTGATGGGGTTCGTGCTGCCTTTAGGATGCCCCTTCCAACCGCGTCGTCGTTAACAACCTTGAACCTCAACCCTGAATCGCAGCTTCAGGCAGAAGTGCTGAATCCTAAACCCTATCAGCCCGAAAAGTCTTAGACACCCTGAACCCTCTACGCCCTGAAACCCCTTAAAACAATTGTAAAAGTCATGCAGGCCCTATACGAACTCATAGCGCCCCTTCGCGGCTTCAAGAACCAAGTTGCGAAGGTTGAACCTTCAAGCGGGTGTTTCACGGGCGTTATTCATGCGTTTTTTTTGTAAGGGGTTTGTTGAAAAGGGTTTATAGGTCGCATGAGGGCTTTATACGTATCCTGGCGTCTCTTCTGTGTAGGGTATTTTTCATATCGCATTCGGACCCTGGACACTGAAGCCTAAAATCCCTGAAACACCGAGCCCTTACCCCCTAGCCCTAACCTAAACCTCAAGCCCCAAACCCCTTCGGCCCTGAGCCCCGAACCCCTGAAAGACTGAATCGTGGATCCCTCTTGGAACCCTCGTAGAAATGCTGAGCCCTACCACCCCAAACCCGAAATCCCCAGAGAGCCCAATACCCCTTAATGAAGGAACCTACCTCTTGGGGCCTTCATATTGTGACTTCAGGTATATATTCCTGAATTACGGAATCTACTTTAAATTATTGGGGCCTTCATATCATGACCTAAGGTATGTTCCTTCATTGAGGGGTATTGGGCTCTCTGGGTCCCAAGCCCCAAAGCCCCGCTGCGGTTCTCCGATAGTTCACCGCAACGCGGTCTCCACTGCCTCAGCCTGGGGCCCCAAACTTGAAGTTGGTGGGACGTACCACAGTCTCCCAGAAGGCACACCAAAACCGCATTTCTAGGTTCTGTATATTATTATTGTTATTGCAGATATTCTTATTGGTACTCGTATTAGTATTAGGAATAGCGTTTGCATTGCATTAGTATTTGTGTTAGCATGAAGTATTGGTGGTGATACGTGTATACTGTAAGTGTTAGTGTTAGTCTTATTGCCAGTAGTATGTGTTATTAGCATTGTGGAGGAGGGTGGTGGTGGTGGTGGTGGTGGAGATGCATTTTACGGGAATCCGGGAAGAGGCTTGGGGTCGGGAAAAGGAAAGGCGACCACCCCACGAGCCCCACAAAATTGAGAACTCCCGGTTCTCCGAAGGAGAAAAGTGCAAACCCCGAAGCCAAAAGCTTTGATGCTTGAGGGTTCAGGGTTTAGGGTTCCTTTGAGGGTTCCTTAAAGTGTTCCGTTATGGGTTCCTTTAAGGGTTCTGTAAGGATTCTATAGAATTCTATCTAATTCTTGTTCGGGTTCACCAGCCAACCAACCGACCGACCAACCAACTAACCAACCAATCAACCGACCAACCAACCAACCAATCAACCAACCAACCAACCAACCAATCAATCAATCAATCAATCAATAAACCAACTAACCAACCAATCAACCAACCAACCAATCAATCAACCAACAAGCCAACCAACCAACCAATCAACCGACCAACCGACCAACCGACCAACCGACCAACCGACCAACCGACCAACCAACCAACCAACCAGCCAACCAACCAACCAACCAACCAACCAACCAACCAACAAACTATCCAACTATCCAACCAACCAACCAACCAAAAATCAACTAACCGACCAATCAACCAACCAACCAATCAATCAACCAACAAGCCAGCCAACCAACCAACCAACCAACCAACCAACCAACCAACCAACCAACCAACCAACGAATCAACGAATCTACCAACCAACCAATCAACCAGTCAAGCAATCAATCAATCATTCATTCATTCATAACCGACATTCTCAGCCGGAGTAGCACAACTTCACACAGGAGCATACGGTGTAGCTTCAAGGTTTAAACTGTTGCAGACGTATAACGGCACAACATACTCAGGCTAACTTCTTCCTCTTCAATCTGAAGGCGGCCCTGGGGATCAAGGGTTTCGGGCTTCGGATTGAGGGCGCCGTGTCAGGCACTACCTGTGGGTCAAATTGCTACTGTGTTTAGGGCTGCACGCAAAGACTAAGTGGTCAAGACCCGTGATTTTGTAGGGTTCGGCGTCGCAGGGTAGGTTTTGAGGCCAGAACATTTCAGGGTCAAAGGTGTGGCCAGAGCTTCCAGCAAGGCAAACATCGGAATCTCAGAGTTGCCCATAGACTGGTAAGATAGAAGCCTGCATAATTGCCACCAGCGTTTCTCCTGCTATCATTGTAGCATTCCAGTGAGGCATCTATAGATGATGTCCAGAACGTATCTAAGACGGGACCGGATTTCGAGCATCACCCTTTTGTTTCCACGTCTTCCGAAGCGCAGCAGGCCGATGTTAGGAAGGGAGCAGAAGCTCCAAACCTTCATTTCAGCCCTAAGCCCTCAGCCAGACCGATCGGGAAGCTGAGAGCCACCTCACAAAGAGAGCAAGCACGGAGAGCTCGGAGTGATCAGAAGATTCCGGCTTTGTTCCGAAAGGCCTTGGGGCTGGGAAACCCCCCCAGGCACCATTTCTTTAAGTTGGGGGAACTCCATTGCAAAAGTCTCCGGCTTCTGGACTAAAAATAGCCACTCGCGGAAGCCCAAAGTCGAGACCCTGAAGCCTCAAGCAATAATGAATAATATGATAATAGTAATATTACAATAATGACAATAATATAATAATAGTGTAAATATAGCATAATACATTATAAGCCGAACCGCAAGCCTACTCCCACTGCCGAGCACAGGACGCCCAGCACGAGGAGCAGGGGACGGAGGGGTCTGGCTACTACAGCAACCTGCCACTTTCCTTCAACACGCACGGGGGGTCGGGGGCAGTTTCGATAGATTTACATATATATATATATTTGTGTATACACACACACA